CATACTAACCCAATTTCATTTGCATCAATAGTTCCATCACCATTTTTATCGAATAACATAAAAACATGTCGAAATTCTAAAGAAACATAGTCAAAAATCTATTGATTTTTTTTTCACTAACCTTCAGCTTTTGCAGTAGAAAATGAACTCTAAATAGAATAGTAATTTCATACAAATGTCAAATTGAAAAAAAAAACAATCGTTCACCATTGATGAAATGCAATCTACGATGACGATGTCGAATGGAAATTTAAATGATAAAATAAACGATGCAGCAAATCATTTATTTTTTTTTCTTTCGCTATGCAAATAGGGAAGCAAAAAACAAGAATAACCTAATTAAGAAGAACGGATAGCAGACAGCGACGTATGATGTTTGGCGTCAGATTACGCTTGTTTCTCTTATAATTTAAGAAAAAAAATAAGACGACTTAATGTGAATTTCTACACTTGACAAAAGTCTGATTTTATATAGTAAAAAAAAAAAATTTTGTTTTTTCAGTAAACTATAAGGTTTATTACAAAAAAGAAAAAAAAAAGAGCAAGGGAAACAAAAAAAAAAGGACTTTATGGAGCTATGTGGATTGAAGAACACAAGAAGAAAAAAAGAAAAGATGGGAATGAGAGAAATGTTTTATTTAGTTCTTCTTCTTCTCTTGAATCTATTGCTACCAAGGATGTAATGGAGAACTATTAGCAGCAATTAGTTCAATCTAAATAATAGAATATGATAAGTGTTTTTAAGTAATAAAAATATATTTTCTTACCATTTGCTGCCACTACGTATTTGTAACGAAGCAATGGCGTCGTCAAGTTCTTTTTCATAATCATTAAGCCATTCAGGACGTTCCTGACTCTCTAAAAAATCAGATAATATATTTTCATTATCATTTAAAATGCAAACATAAACTTACCAAGACTTTTAAATACACCAGCTGCTTTCATACGAGCATAATCTCGTTCCGGATCGTAATTTCTAGTAAAAACAGAAAAATAAAATCAATGAATGATATCGATATATCATTGGTTGAATAGGAACGATATATATATAAATCTATTTGGATTATACAAATTTAATTTCGATATTTTTTGCACTATGATAATTCGCATAAAGAATCGAAATAGTAACTTGATTAGAGAAAATTGTTTCTAACAAGGTTTTGAAGCTTCATAAGTTTCGCAAAATTCAGAAGCTCTGGAAAATTCCATTCAAGCTCTCAACGACATTTTTTTGTTGATAGAATTATTTCAGCATCAAGAAATGGTCAGACATGGTTTTTTTTTGTACCATTTCCTAAGAAGGAAAACAGGACACTTGAGTAGAGCCCGACAAGCTCTAGTCATCAGACGAAGGAAGTCCTCCAAATATTCCTCGCTGTTGAGTCAAGACTATGTACATAATGTGGACCCAAATCAACTATGAATACCCTTAGAAGAGTTCGTGTCCTTAGCTTATTTCTACGAAGATTCTGCACTTTTACATAAATGTTGTGGTAATAGAAAAACTGATTTTTGACGTAAAAATTTACATAGAGACAGGTCCTAACAAGAATACTTTATTTGAAAGTTGTAGATCCTTTGATATGTATGTATCCTGAAATAAGAACATAAAATCTGCTTGCTTATATAAGTGATGTAAAATATACGCTTTTACTGTAGGTGCATCTCAAGACAAAAATTACTCTAACGAAAAAACAAAAAACAATCAAAATTAAATCTATACAATTCATATTTGTAGTTATTGTATAATTAAACAATGATCACTTTAATAAAAAATAAGCAAGAATTTAAATAATTACTTGTAAAATGTTGATATTTCACGTTTATGTCGATCAGATATTAAGAATTTATACATAAGAGCAGATACAGCACCAAGACTAAAACCAATAATACCAGCTCTGGGTACTCGCGATCGAGTTAAATTTTTCAAAGCCGGTCGTCCAACCGATTTCGCACTTGTTTTACCCGATGCAACAGCACTAGTACTGGATGACATGTTTTTTCTTTTTCTTTGTATATAAATATCTAAATAATGTTATAGTGAAGATAATAACAGAAAACAATAAAATATATACATGTAAAAAACAGTGTTTATATGCATGAATAGTGTGTTTTTTTTTTAAATAGAACATCAAACCCAATCTGACAGACTGAGATAAATTTCAATGTCACTCGGTAAAATAATTATACATATATATATATATATAATTAAAACAAAAGAAATACATAAATTGTTATTTTTATGAATGAAGAATAAAAAAAAAACATTAAAAAAAAAAATTATCATTTTAAACGTTTAATTAATTTATTTTCATAAGTCCATTTTAATTCACCCGATTCAGTAAAATACTAAAATAAAATATCAAATGAAATTGAATTTATTTTTTTTATTTTTATTTACTTTTGTTTGCCATTTAAGTGATTTTTCATTACGTTCTTTAGCTTCTTCACGTTGTCGTTGTTCAAGAAATGTTTTTGCTGCAGTTGCTTTATCAAGTTGTTTAGATTTAAGATAATAAGTTACATCTTTCCATAAACTAAATAAATAAATCAAAAAAAAAATTTTTTATCTTTTATTTTCATTTAAATTATTATATTTCATACCGACGACTTTCATATTCACCTTGTTCAGCAATTGGTCGAACAATTTTTTTAATAACTGCTGTTTTTTTTGTATCAAAAAAAACTTCCGATATTTTACTATCAATATATTTTGCATTCATTACACCATTCCATTCACCATCAATTTTACAAAATTCTTTCTTATCTGGACCAAATAAAGTACCAATTATTTGATGTTTTTTTCCATTATAAAATGGCTATTAAAGAACAAAGACAAACAACATATCGTATAGTTTTCTCTAGATCGAGGTTCAAAAAATACTTGATCTCACACAAGTCTATATTCAGATTTTAATTTCAGACATGATTTGTACTACAATACATAAAAGCTAAAGTCAGCCTGCTGTGGTATAGAAATCACAGTTACTCTACGAAAAAATCAAGAATCATTAAAACTGGAATTGTCATTTTTAGAAATACTGCAGAAAATAAATGAAACATCGGATTCAAAAACGATAAGAACCTTCTTTGTAGTAAATATTATGGACTATCAATTGGTAAAAAGAGTATTTTTTTTCATTGCTCCATCGGGTCTTCAAAATCGATAATTTTGAAATTTCTTCTGAGATCATAAAATGATTCAGAGCAAAAAAGGACTCTCATTTGACAACATGTGTAAAAAAATACGCATACATTCCTTGGTATTAATTTTTATCGGTTCACAACTATTTTTTTCCATTATTTCTAAAGCACGGGATATATGTTGCTTCTGTCTACTCAATAGTGTGATCAAAGAAAAAAACTCAACTCTCATGATGTTGTTCAATTCTCTTTTTCCATCGCATGATCGCTGAATCTATCAAGCCGTCCTACTCTAGGAACAGGATATTCGATGGATCAGACCATATCATTGGTATATTAGAGAGGTTAATACTTTATTTATAAATTTATTTTATCAGTGGCTAAATAATCTGAGATTTGATCTTTACATGATTTTTTTTTTGATTTAGCATCTCATTTTCTTTGAAAAAGAAACAACGTACTTTTGTTAAAAATTCAATATTAGCTAAATATCCGGTTTTTTCACATTCAATTGTTATTTTACCACCCATTTCAAACCAAGGTACTCCAAGGATAGAACTAAATAATAATAAATTTGTATGAGAAAATATAAGAAAATTTTCTTATCTACCGTCCATATGCACTTGGAAATGTCATAATATAACGTTCATCATGATCAAGTAATGTTAATGTTGCATCACCAATCATATGAACAGCAACTGAAAGACCAAGAAATTTTGATTTTGTCCATAGACATCCATCTATTTGAATATGTTTTGCAGGACATTCAGCATAAAAAGAAGCAACTATTCAATAATAATAATATTATTATTATTATTATTAATTTCAATGTATTTTAATTACTTGGAGGATGATGAGATGTTTGTTCAGCAATAAAAGTAACATTATTATCTGATGCCCATGAAACAGGACCATCTTTTGCAATTGTTGTCTATAGAAGAAAGAAAAAAAAATTCATATTTCAAATATTAACATATCACTAACATTTGAAGATGATGATGATGAACCAATATCATATAAACATTGAAATGTTTCACCAAGTATTGGATTATATGGTTTTTTAGCTACTGGACTTTTTCGACCAGCATGAAATGCAGATAAATACCATTTAACAACTTGTATAAAACGATCACGTGGTGTTTGATAATCTGTAACACTAAATAAAAAAAGAAATTTTTCGATGAATATTTTTTTTATTTTTTCTTATCTATTTCAAAACTTACTTAACAAATTCATCGGGATGAGCAAGAAAATCAGCAAGCATTTCAAGAAAAGAACGTCGTTCAAGAATAAATGTTGGTAATGTTATTTTAGTTAAATCCATTGATATACGTGCCTTAAAAAACAAGCAAGAATTTTTACTCGAAACGAGCCATAAAAAAGTGGCCTAATTTCGAGCGACTCCTGTAGGACCCTCGATTTTCGGAAAAATCAAATCTTGAAATTTTCATATATAGATATTTATGCTCTATATACTATCTATGGAAAAGGGTTTATATTGTGAAGAAACTTTGTTCGAAACTTCTGGATTAGTCAAGATCTATAAATGCACAAAATTTCAAGATTCAATTTTTCCGAAAACCTGAAGTCCTACAATAGTCTCTGAAAAATAGGCATATTAAAAATTCGGTAGCTTAACAAAATCTCATTACGTACTCAAATGCTTTTCGGATTTTTACTAGGACACTCTGTGGTACCTATAGACAAAAATTCGAGAGAAGATTACCTCGTTAGTCATGTTTTATGAAATTCAGCTATTTTCTTGAAATAAACTACTCCCGATCGAAAAGACTGTATTCTATACGTGTATCACTCTACTTAAGACTGGTGATCGCGGCATTTGCATATATAATCATTAATGTTTACAAGACAAATTTTTTCACATCTTTCAAATTGGAAATTTGAATAGAGCTTGATGAGTTACGTTAAAAAAATCTTGTCTTTGACATTAAGAATAAGAAAAGTCTATGAAAAATTGAAATACATCAAAAGCATAAAATCAAACAAAAACAAGTAGACAATGCTGCTGTTGTGAGATGAATAGCATTGCGGCAGGTCTCGGTGGATTACATTCTTAAAGTATCGATAACCTTGAACTCAAGTTCGAAGCTTCTGAATACTACGAACTCATCGTTTTTTTATCATATTTTTCAAAAACCATACGTAATATTTTTTTTCCTCGAATAAAATATATTGAACTTGTCAAAACCAACATATTTATACATAACTCTCTATGTGATAGATGATAATTTCTTACTTGCGAGATTAAATGTGAAATAATAGTTCCATCGATAGGTGCAACTAATAATATATAAATTTTTCAATTTCTTTGTACATTTTCTAAACAACTTACGATCTTCTTCAGGTTCTTCTTCATAAGCAGCTTCATAAATTTCAAATGGAATTTGTGATTCATTTGTAAGACTAAAACGAAAAAAAAAAATACCTTTCGATTTATTATTTAATTTGTTTTTTTTTTTACGATGTTCCATTTATTGTGGTTTTTTCATCTGTTTGTGGATTTGAAGATGATAAAAAGACCGATACACTAAACAAACAAATCAATTTTTCTCAAAAAACAAAGGAACATCCTTACTCGATTGGTTCATCAGCATCATAAAAATCATTATCATCATCACTACTTGAATAAGATGATATAGGAAATTTTTTTCGAACAGTTTTTGCAGCTGTATGAAAATCTAAAGCTATTATTAACAAAAAAAACAACAATAATAATTCAAATAAAAAAAAGTCAAACAAATAAACGTATCACATACGTTCAATTAGATTATTATCTTTAGTTATTTTTTCATTTGTATCACTACGAATTATTGTCTGAGTAGTATTTGACGATGCTTCATCTACTCAAAAAAAAAACGCTATAATATCATTTGAATGAATAAACATTTTCTACCTTTATTTATACTTATATCTGATAATATAGTTTGATGATCGACATTAGTTTTTATTTCATTCTGTGGATCCATTTGAATCTATGCAAAAATAATCGAAATTTTTTTTTTTATGTATATCTGTATGTATGTAAAAAAATCTTTCGCCGTTTGTTAGACATAGCAAAGCATTGGTCAGGATTAAAACTTAATAGCTAAGCCTACCGATTCAAAAAATTGTTCGTTCATATAACGATATGGTGTCCGTTGTGAACAATGATGCTGTAAAAATATGTATAGCTTTTTTTTCTTCGAAATTTTCTAAAACTACTATCTATTCCTATAGCAGGTATTCCCCATTGTGAAAGTGTTTCATCTTCTGACATTATAATATCAGAAGGTGAAACATCTGCTATAAGAATATCAGAAGACTCGAGACTATCGAAATTCAATTGGTCAGCAATTGACCAATCGGATGAGTTCTTCGCGAAGATGTTCAAAATCGATTTTCTGAAGCTATTTTCGTTTCGATTTACGCTAGATCGATATTCCTAACTTGTTCCATTCAACAGTTATAAGACTTCCGATTTCAGCCAAGTGAACTGCAATTATTCAGAAGAGAAGCTAATAGATCCGAAATTTCACAATCATTCTTCATATAACGAAGAAGTCGACATTTCGGAAATATTGAGATAATAATATCAGATCGGCTCGAATCTAAAAACATATATCACCATTCAACTCAGAATAGTAAATAGAAATTGAGGTTGCAGGAAGTCTTATAACTCACAAATGAAACAAGCTAGGAATTAGCTTTAAAACATCGTTTTCGAAAATCTCTACGAAGAACTTACCTAATTGGCCAATCGAATTTTGATAGTCCTGGATCTTCTTTCTTGAATGGTAAAAGCCGCAAGTTTCTATCAAAATTTATTCAAAAAACAATACAGTACATTATATTTTGAAATGAATAGTAGTTTCGAAAATTATGTTTTCAAAATTCAATTGAATTTTATTCCTATACTTGACAATAGTGAGGCATTAATTCTCAAGTCTTGAGAAAGAACTATCCATACAAATAATGATTTATTCAGTCTTATGAAGTTATAATTTCTACTGATGTACTAACGAGATATTTTTTTTTTGTTTCAATCGAATATGAAATTCAATATTGGAATCAGTACAAAAATCATATGTATGTTTTAAATTGTTTCTCCGACTTTTTTTTCGCGTCAAATTTTGATCTGTGATCCTCTTCAAGGATAAAAAAACCGGTCGAGCGGTGTGAAATATTTACTTTTGCTAATTGAAGTGATAAAATAGAATATTTGACAGCTTCGATTAATCTCTAAAAACAAAACACAAGGATTTTTTAATTCAATATTAAAATTTTTTATTCTATATACTTTAGCAGATAAAATAATACGATTATAACATTCCCGTTCTTTTGTTTCTTGTACTTGATTACTAATTTGTTCTAATTCCTAAAGAATAAATCTTTTCAAAACATTTCTTTCAAAAAACAAAAATTCTTACATTCACTTGATCAATTAATATTTGTAAATAACTGTCAGCTTCTGTTATTTTACGTTGAAATATTGTTTTATGTGAATATGATAAATTATTCTGATGAAAATTACTTTTCTATAAAAATCAAAAAGAAAACAATAACATACTGTATTATTTGTATTAAGAGAAATAGCATCTTCAAGATTTGATATCCATTTTTGTCTTTCTTCAGCATCACGAGCTATAAAAAAAAATGAAGTATAAAACCAGACTTCAAGATAAGATAAAGAACAAAAAAAAAAAAGAAAAAGAAGAAAAAACGTATACCTTGGAAATGAAATGTTTTACCATTTGATCGAATAGTAAACTTACAAAATATAAATAAATAAGAATAAACGACAGAATTTTTAATTCTTCTTACTGTACTATCATCTTCTGAATCAATACCTAAATGTGCATCCTAAATAAAAACAACATCAAATGACTTATAAATAAAAAAACAAAATTTTAATCTATGATTCACCTTTAATAAAACAACACCACGTCGTTCTCCTTTAACCATATTATCTTTGGACTAGAAAAAAGAAAAACAATAATTTTTATCTTATTAAAACAATTGAAATATTCATATTTAGTTTTTACTGTATAATAAATAAGCATTCCTTGTGTAGGATCAAGAACAAAATAACGATATTGCCAACCATGAATAACATTTGTCCACTTACTAAGTGGACCTTCGAATAACATCTATAATAATAAAATATTGAGTTCCTATCAATTCCAATACAATGAACAAATACATACATATTTTTTTTTTTTTGCGATCACAAATATAATGTATTGTTTATTTACCACTACAAATATTATTGGATAGGATTTGGTAAAATACTGCTAGATGTCGCATGTGGCAGTACGACAGAAAAATTTTGTTACTAAGTAATAAAGATTTAAATTCGATTCTAATTGTAAAAAGAAAAAATTGGAATATAAAACGAAATGTTTATACCCATAAGTTTGATTTATGAGAGAATCTTTTCGGATGTTCAATTTCAATAAGTTTTGTGATTAGAAATACTGCATAGTATTCTAGTGAAAATCCTAACAAGATTGATACTTTGCAGAGTTATTGAATTTTGAACATGTCTATTTGATAGAGTACCTAAATTCTCGGAAAAATTGTATTTTTGAATTTTATTTTCATTTGCATGTTTCACGTGGACTTTGTATCTTCAAGCTATGAACTTTTCTTCAAAAATAGATGCTTTTTGAAATTTAGTGAATAATACAAAAATATTTTTAAAAGTTCTTATCTCGAAAAATACACGGTTATAATGAGAATTATTTTTTATTTAATAATAAAAATTTTTTCTAATTTATATTGTAATAAATAAATTGCATAAAGTTTCTCGAAGAGATCCATTTTGTGGTACACAATAATTTGATTCAAGTCGACGTTTAGGATCAGCTTCAATTAATTGTTTATTACTTTGAAATAAATCCAAAAGTGAAAATGCACCAAGATTTTTACTTCTTCCATGTCGTACTAATACTAAATCATAATCATTCGATGATGATGTTAATTCTTTTAAATAACCATGTACAAGAAGCCAATGAGCTCGATGACCTTTTTTAAGACATGGTTCATGATTTGCATCAGTATCATATCTAATAACAAAAAGATAATTTCTAAGAATAGTAAAAAAATAAATTTTATATTTACGGAACAAGACAAATATAATTTGATTTTAAACATTCAATAAGATCAGTTATATTTGTCCATTGATGAAGTGCAGCTTTTAAATTAAATTGTTGACATAGATTCGGTATTACACGAGCTAGAAACTAAAGTTTAAGTTTTATTCAATAAAAATTCAAATATTGTTTTTTTTTCTTACCATCGAATAATTCACCTTGAATTGTATATAAAAGTTCTTTAGCTTTTTCGAATATATTTTCTACTGTTGTATTACATGAATGAATATTCATCGCCATTGCAAGAGCAACAATTCCACATCTTATAGAATGTAAAATAAATATTTAAATTAATCACAATCATTTTTTACTTACTGTGGACCATCTTGTAAAACTGATTCAATTGGTTTATAGACAATCAATTCATATTTTTTTGTTTCATCACGAGAAAATTTTGATCTAATATTAATATTTAGAACTTACACCAAAATAAAAAAAACAAAGTTTTTATTAGACAAACCTATTATATGCTTGAATGACTTCTACTGGCCATGTTTCCATTCTTTAAAGACAAAAGAGAATAATTAATGTAATAAATAAGATTCAATAATCAAGCAAAATCTTCGAAAAGACTTTTATCATTAGATTTTAGAATCCGATCGAACCATACTTTGATACTCTCAATGAAATTTTCTAACCGAAATTGAATAATCACTTCAAAGCATAGATATCCATCGCAACAGAGAATCTATCGCGGTGATTTTTAAAAAAGAATACCACTGCCATGGACATCTCTGCCTCGAAGATATGAGATACTTTTTTCCGGTGTTTTATATTCGGTGACTAGTGGAACCTACACATTTCTCAGATGACTAGAGCCTGTCAGATCCAAAATTTTCGGATCCGGTCGGGTTTGAAACAGACTAGACAGACTCAAAATCTTTTATAGATGTCCTATTCACCTTCAAGATAATAACTATTGACCAATACTTCTCATTGACGAAATAAATATTTACCTTAACTATTATATTGAGCACAATTGATCTATACCTTTGAAATTGAGCATTCAAATCTGAACTTATGGTTTTTTCTTTTTATTGAAAAGTAAATGAAATTATTGAAATAATTTTCAAAAAAAAAAAAAACTATTCGATAATCAATCTAAAACTTAAAGAAAAACATAAAAGATATATCAATCTCAATGTTATTGACAATATATAAAATACATTGATGTTAAACGAATAAATTCAATTAGCAAACACTTAAAACAATTCATCGTTTTCTTGTCTATTATAATATGATATTTACATATAATAGACTAATTTATAATAGTTTATTTAAAAATAAAAATATTGCGCAATATGATTTTCATTTATTTTTCAAGTTTATTATTAAGAACAAAGAAAAAAACATCAACAATCTCGAATAAATAAATAACCAACAATAATTAGTGGAGTCTACTGACCAATTAATGAAAGTTAACAAAAAAAATCATAGATGTTATGAGATGATTTTTATCACTAAGTATAACAAAAAATATAGATGTATTATTTATTTCACATTTTTTAATTGATTTGCTAACCAATCAAGTCCTTCACAGAGACCATCACCATTTGTAGCACATGTTGCTTGAATATACCAATTACGATTACGTAATGAATGAAGACCTAATTTATCAGTTATTTCAGCAGCATTCATTGCATTTGGTAAATCCTATCGAAGTGTAAAATTCAAAATTTAAAAAAAAACCCGAAATTGCTTTTTCTTTTTACTTGTTTATTTGCAAAAATAAGTAGTATAGCATCTTGAAGTTCATTTTCTGAAAGCATTCGTTGAAGTTCATCACGTGCTTCACCAATACGTTCACGATCATTACTATCAACAACAAAAATAAGACCTTGAGTATTTTGAAAATAATGTCGCCATAATGGACGAATTTTATCCTAAATAACAAAAAGAAAAAATTCTATACAAAAAAAATTTTTTTTTTTTCTTAATTATTCTTACTTGACCACCAACATCCCAAACAGTAAAACTAATATTTTTATATTCTACTGTTTCAACATTAAAACCTAATAAAAAGAGATACAATTTTCATTATTAAAAACATAAATTACTTACCAATAGTTGGAATTGTTGTTACAATTTCTCCTAATTTAAGTTTATAAAGAATTGTTGTCTTACCTTAAGAGATTTAAGAAACAAAAACAAAATAAATTGAAAAAATGAATTAATTTTTCTTTACATAAAACAAACCAGCAGCATCAAGACCAACCATTAAAATTCTCATTTGTTTTTTACCAAATAATTGTTGAAAAAGTGTTGAAAAAGTTAAACCCATTTTCTTTTTTTTAATTTAATGATTAATCTAAAATGCATATGAAGAAGAACAAAATCCCTAATGACTAGCTTAAATAATAATAATAATAATAATAATAATAATAAAAAACATTAAGAAGATAACGATTGCTTATAATATAAATTTTATCTTATATCAAACTGTACGCTTTTGCGAACAATAACCCATAAAATCTTGTATAAATTTTTCAAAATCGTCTCGTTGTTCATAATTACCCACAAAAAATGAACGATTATTTGCTGAACCACGTATTAAAGCTGATAGACCTTTAAAAATAAAAAAGATTTTCTTTAAAAATAAATACCAAAAAATTTATCATACGTTGTCCACAAGAAGGACGAAATAGACAAAGTACAGGCTTATTTAATGTAATAGCTCGTGCTATTTCAAAGCCAACACCTAATGATGGTTGTGTTACTTCAGCAACAACTACCTGAGCTTTGGATAACCATTGCATATCACGTTCAAGAATTTCAGCATCATTTAAATTTTTTTCTACTGTAATAACAAAAAAAAAATATTAATAGAAAATTTGATGTCTTTTTTCAATGTACCAAGTTCTAATTCAGGAAAAGCAACATGTTCAGTTAAAACTGTACCATATGATTTAAGACAAGTAACAATTTGTTGATAAATAGCCACATCTTGTCTACCACCTCGAATACTACCACAAAAATAGATGTTCATCTGAAGAATAATGAAATAATTGCTTTTCTTTTTATTGTTTTTTACAAGCAATAAGACGTGGCAGAGAGAACGAAAAGAAATAAAACGAAATAATGAGTCATCCGATGATATGTAATTTTTTTTTATTTTCCAATGAAATTTTTATAACTTATTAAAATCTATTTTTCAAAAAATAAGTTAACGATAAGATAAATAGGTATAATGAACTTATTACATAGATAGAAAATGGTTGGATATCATTGTAGACAAATAATAACAATCGTTGTTTATAACAACACTTATTATTGATAATGATAAATATGATATAGAGGTCTATGTATAACAGTATTATAAATTGATGGAAAATTTTCTATTTAGTTTTTACACATATGAAAACAAACCCTATTTTCAAAAGTTAATTATATTCGCAAAAGAAATATAAATTAGAATATTTTCTCCCTTGAAATTAAGATGTTAATGTTATTCATCACGTCAATTTACATATAATTCTCTATCTGTCTCATGAGATATAAAACTAATAAAAGTGTTTTTGATTTGAAATGGGAATAAGATATTTCTAACCAATATTATCATTAACAATGCCAAAACCAAACGAATTGAAGGGGGGGAGGGAAGAAGCGGGTTGCATTTTTTTTTTTTTTTTTTGTATATATCCTGAGATTAATCTCTCAATAAACATCAATATTATATATGCATACTCGAATGAATAGTAAGTGACTATTAACCTATAGTAAGTTTTTTTTTCAAGACGAAATCGTCGATTCAGGATTGCTTCCAATTATTGAAGGTTTGCAAATAGAATACGAGGAAGCACAAATAAAAAAGAAAAGACGTTATACAAAAATCTTCTATACACATACGGTAGGAATAGAATTACATTTGATTTATGAACGAGAAATATTGATTGTCATCATACTATAATTCATATACAATGACAATTTTTTTCTATCAACAATTTTTGTTCTGTCTAATTTATCATAGGATCTATTGTTAGTTGTTTTCTATGAATAATATCATTTCTCTCATTACTAACTATTATTAATAGCATATAATATAAAAGAGACAATATTTTTCCATACAAAGAATAATCGATAAATAATTAGACAATAAAAATATTCAACATTTTTTAGTTTGCTCTAATCTTTTTTTTTTCTCCCTCGATAAATAAATACTCTTCAAAGTGTTTATTCATAAGAGAAGTTGTCAAAATAGATACTATATAGAATTAGCACTATTAACTTCAATGAAGAAAATCTGGAATTTTTTAATATAGGTACTGTCAGTTAGATCAGGTCGATTTCATTCCTTTGATCTAAAAAGAAGTTATGATCTGTAGCAATGCTTATGATTCGGTGAATTTATCATTATGTAGTCATTGACAGAGGATATTTTACATAATGTGATAGATGGACTAGATCGTTCGTTAGAATGGTCAAATTAAAATAAATGTATAGGAAGATAAACCGTGATCTGATCTTTTATAAACGACAGAGATTTTTACTCGACACTTCGTTTATAGTTTCTTGGTCGCGTAATTCAAAATTATCTGTCGATACTCATTGTATATATTTAATTTTTTTTTTGTTTGAAAGAGCACATCAAGACACAGTGCAATACAGAGTCCTTTTTTTTTTATTAAGCTTTGCTCTTACTATATATATACAAACATTTATATAATTAGAATACCATTTAAGGACTCTTTACTGCACTACATCCTGGCATACTCTTTCAAAAACAAATTAAATATATAGAATGTATCTGAACAGAGAAATTTAGTTTGCCAAATGAGCAATTTTTGTAGTTTCAACATATCCTGAAAATTTCATGTCATTTGAATGCTCCTATACTGAGATTGATTTTTGACAGCGGAGAAACCTTAAGAACGGCTAAACACACTAAAATATAATGTGTTGTACTTTACGACATATTTTGTCCAGCAATAGTCCAACGCATTCTAAAAACATGATTCGAATCTCTTATACAGCGCATTTCTTTTTCTGTGAAAATAAATGACGGAATTTTTTTTCAATTTAATTATTCCTATTCTGAACATTCAAGTCGGTTAGAATTTCAAATCTGTCCAATTCAGGATAGTCCTCTCTTGACTAATAACTAATCAAGAGATAATCTAGAAAAACAAAAAAAGACACACAACTATCACATCTTTAATCCAGTTGTCTATGTGCACACACAACACAACGGTGAATGAATAGTCAACAGACAAAACACGACAAATTCATAATACAACACATTTTATTTTAGTGTGACATCATAGTAAGACACCTCATCAGTCAGTAGTATATTTCTATATTGAGATCAATAGTGCTAGTTGCAAATAGATGCTATTGGCGGTTCCCTTGTGGATAATGACTTCTGTCACCGAGTTCGATTACTGATATTAGCTTATAGATATTGATTTCTTTTTATCATCAAACTATCCGGAAGACATTTACCAGAGCTCAGTTGCTTACTGCTTATGAATAAAAAAAAGGTTTGTATATAAGTAAAATGAAACATATAACATATTGATATCTCAACTATTTGATTTGAATATATTTGAAGATAAACATTCCACATCAATCAAGATGAATGTTTTATAATTAATTACACTTTGATGTGTCTAATTTGTTTATTACAGAAACAATCGTAATAAGGAAATTATATATACAGAATATGCTATAAATGGGTTGTACGATTTACTTTCCGCAGAATTACTTCCCGTTGTTTGTTTTCAGTGTTAATTGGATTTTTTTTTCACCAAAAAGTTATGATTTCTGACGTTGAGAATTTACTTTCCGTTGATTAGTTGGATGAAATGAAATCATTTCATTTCATCCAACTAATCAACGGAAAGTAAATTCTCAACGTCAGACATCATAATTTTTTTGCGAAAAAAAGTCCAATTATCACTGAAAATAATCAACGGAAAGTAAATCGTGTAACCCGCCATAAATAACACTACCATAAAAAAAAAGAAATATCTTTGGATTAGTACAATCAAGTGAGTTGATTTTTTTTTTATCAGTACAAATTAATATCATCTATTATGAAGTAAGAAAAATAAATGTCTACTATTTGATAGATGATTTTCAGTTATCATCTTAGAAAATAATAAAAAGTGGTCAAAATAATTTAATGAAAATAATTATAAAATTTCGAATTCTAAAACATGAAATACTGATTTTTTATGCTCAAAGGATTGCACTTGTACATTTTATATAGTACGAATTTTAACATTTATATTAACTAGTTATGAAAAGTTAGTCTATATGCATCAATATTATGAAGTTCGTTCTGATTTCCTTCGATAAAAGCTAAAAATTACCTATGGAACGCTTCATCTATATTTGTTTTTTTTACTTGCCAATAGATAAAATTATTCTAGTGAGACTGGAGAAAAAAAATCTGTAACTTGACATTAGTATTTGTTGACGTTATTCATATAAAAAAAAATTTTAGCTAAGCTTTTACTACTAACCAAAAAAAGTCAGCCGATTCAAACAAACCAAAGTGTAAATTATATTTCATTTGTTTTGATAGTAATGTTATATATTGCCTACTCTATCTGCTATTTATATTACTATTTTTCTACGAGTGAGTAGTTCTACATTAATATCTCTTTTTTTTTTATAAGAATAAAAACATTGAATTAATCGATTAGTTTTCTTTAGAAGATAATCATTTGCATCGTATCAAGGAAATGAATGTTTCAATAAATATTCGATTAAAGTTATAGTTTTCAATTATTAAAATATGTCTGTAAAAACTTACAACGACATGTCTATTTTTTTTGTTATACGATTCTTCCCGCCCTTTGAATGTCAACGAGCCAGGTAATTTATGATGCAGAATATTTTACAAATAATAATGAGATTTAAGTATTTCCATGTGTTAGCTCAGTTTTAATCACTTTTACATCTCGAAATGATCTATATAAGATTATACAAATAATAATCTAGATAATTTCTATTGATTTTTGTTTTTGTCTTTATGTTTAATTGACTATATACAAAATAAAAATGTGTATATGTTTATAAATTTCGTAATTAAATATAATGTTTTATTTATAGAATTCGTACTTCACCAATATATCAATGTTGATTTAAGCAGATGACAATATCATATATCGACTGATTTTTGTGATATTTACGAGTGATATATCAATCGATCATCTCTGTTGTAGTTATAGTAGTATAACATGTAATAAAAAACACATGAAAAAGTCATAAGATATCAATAGGAGATGATGATAATGTTGTGACAATCTTTTCCTAGAATATAAAAGCACATATTTA